TTTCCCTGGGTCTTTTTCCGTGTGTTATGAATAAATCTTTTTCTTTTTGGTATTGGTACGGGTTTTATTTTGTTGTATTTATCCGCGACACCTTAAAGGCCGGTCTGTGTTGGACATAAACCGCACCGTGGCGCAAAAAAGGTTGGGGACCGCTGGTTTAATGTGGTCATTTTAGGCAGATGTCTTGCAAGCGTGTGTGGAGTTCTTCCCTCTGTACTTAAGCCGAAATTTTATATATATTTGTACTTTTCTTGAGTTTTTTGGACAACTTTTTACTTTTACTCCCTACATTTTTAAACAAATATAAGTACTTTCTACTCCTTACATTTTGAAAACGGACTCGTTACTTTTGGTTCATTTAACGGGTCAAGAGGAGGAAGGGTGAAGGGAGTGACTGGTAATTTAAAATTAAATGTTTCTATCAGCTCAACAAACAGCAAGCACACACGTGCTGTTGCCAGCTAAAGGTTAAGCTGTCCGGTTAAGAAGGTGTCAGTGTTGGGGGAATAAATCATCATTTATGTGTTCTCGTGTACTAATATCATTTTATTATATTAATACAGCAAACTCTTCAGCTACCTTTGTACAAAAACGGTTAGTAGAATTGTCCCTCAAGGAATTCCTTTTTACTTTGAGTACATTTCTGAGTTTGTATTTTTTCACTTTTACTTGAGTAAAAAAGTTGCTTCAGTACTTTAGGTTTTTTGTTTTTTTTTTTTTAAACTCAGGCATCTGTACTTCTACTTTAGTAAAGAAAGTCTGTACTTTTTGCCACCTCTGATCTTAGGCTCACAGCACTAGTATTGAGCACAGCAGCCACAACCACCTGCTGAAATCATCGTGAAGGAGGGCAATAGGACAAAGGGAACTATAAAGGACAGTATAAGGTAAAGAAGGATTATTTTGAACTGTGACTCACATAGAGAGTCAAGAAAAACGAATGGACCTGGAAATTAGCACACAGGTCCAGGGGTACAGCTTGGAAGCAAAAAATCTAAAAGATCTCTTAATCTTGTACATGATCACAGTGTCTTACCACTTCTGAGCCAACCTCACAGTGTTCCCACTTTGTGGTTGTAAGCATTAATGTTATTGATTTGACTGCTTGTTATCCCACAATCACTGGACTGTAAAATGATGCAGTAATTTACTAGAGGGGGAATATGTGAAATTTGTTTTATTTATGGTTAGTAAAGTGTCTCTAGTTACTTGGAATCTTCATTTCGGCAAAGTGTGCGTGTCGAACAAGTTAAAAAAACATGGGAAAAAAGCTGGAGAGGGTATCCTGTTACTGAAGAGATTTCCTCTATAAATCCATGAAGCAGGGGGAGATCATTCATTAAGGGGCCTGAAGCAAAGGAAACATAGGTCTACTAAATCCCAACAGAAAAACTTTCTTCATTTACTGCCCCCGGGCCATAGTACTTTACAAAAGCTGTCAGACTGGGAAAGGAATAAGAAATTCAGGCCATAGTTTCAGAGATTTAAGCAAAGAAAAGAGACAGTAGCTCTTGTTATCTGGAAGGAATCAAAAACAGCACTAACATTAAGGGATGTCTAAGATTTATTTGTTTACTTACTTTTGAATGTTCGCGTGCATATATTATGTCACTGATAAAGTATGGGAGCTGAAACTACATTTAACATCTTTAAAAAGTGTTTTATACTGTTGATTCAAGCAAACAAACGTGTCAACAACCGAAGAACAAATGTCACAAACGCAGTGGACAATAACAGGCACAAGTGCACAAAGTGAAAGAAAGTGAAACTGTCAAGCAGCTATGTCCAATTTCTTCAAAGGTGTCCTCATCTTCTCTTTTAAATGAGTCTCTGTTACAGTAAATGAAGCATAAGCAGTGAGCCTGTGTCTACATTCACAGATTAGCACTATGTACTCAGAAAACCACTTTCATAGAGCTCTGTCAGCTGTGTAATTCAAGTTTCTTTTAAGAGCGATGATTTCACAAGCCAGTAATAGCATATTTACTGGCATAGGGCTGTTATTGAAAACTCTGAAATGGTTATAAGCATGAAATTGAATACAGAAGAAGAGTAAAATGAGATTTTTTTTAAGAGGAGAAAGACGATGGCTTAACAGCTTCCAATCTTTGTATTTGGAGTTAATTCGTGGAGATTCAGTGCACTCACTAGAGGGTTTTACACACAACTATCTGAATGGCTAAATGGCATTATAAAGAAAACAACCTAATTAATCATAACAATCTCATTCCCTCTTCCATTGTCTCAGAGTTTGACTTTTTAAGGTGTCAGAAGAGCTAATGTGAAGCCATAACTCACTTTAATTTGCTAGAGAAGGGCAGATATTTTTGTTTTTCATCCAGTCCTCCTCACTTTGCCTCAGACATGGACAGATCTTTTGATTCTCTCTTAATGCCCAAAGTATGTCAGGGGAAAATATCAAGGATTTATACCTTAGATGAAGACATTTACGTTAACATGAATAGATGGGAGTTGTTCGGTTGTTTTTGTGTAGATCCAACACGAACATTTAATAAACCCTCAAATAAAATGTGACACATAAAAGGAAAAGCAACCTCTGTTAACACAAAAACATATCTGCCCTCTTGGTTGGTAAGTCTGGTGCACTGATAAGTGCTTGCAACTGGATTAGAAACAACTCTGATTGCAAACAGTCCTGCAAAGTCAAATCATTTATTCAGTAGATCTTTCTCAGAAGAACAAAGTTGGCTACAAAGTCTCACCAGAATGACACAATGCAAGAAATGCATCAAACATGGTAGAGCCAATGTTATGCAATGGGATTGTTTCCCTGCTAGTGTTTATTGATGAGACTACAATTTATCCCACTGCTTTCATGAGCAAAGTTACTTTTGAGCTGCTGAAAATGGGGAACAACAGTTCATCTCTCAGAAGTGGCTGGAATTCCACAAATCCTCCAACAATGTTGCAATAAGTTCTACGCAAAACATCCAAGAAATTACACCTCAAAGTTTTCATGACTACAACATCTGAAAAATCCCTTTTAAAAAAAGCATCCATGGAAACAGTTGGTAAACCACAAGATGATGAATGGCATCATGTCATCACAACTTTTTGGCAAAATGGTGTACAAACTGATACGTTGAATATTGAACTCTGTGCTAGTTAGATAGTGTAAACTGGGCACAACTAAACAGAAAGAACACAATCAAGCAATTTATAATTATAATTCAGAGTAAATTCATTTATGCTCACTAGTTCTCAAGTAGTAATGTTTTGCTTTTATGAAACAGTGAAAGATGAATGTTACCATATTACTTAAGCAGATCTAGATTTAGTTACTATAGTTTTTTTTTCTTGCTGCTGTTACAACCAAATTTCCCCTTGTGGGACAAAGGATTATTCTATTCTATTCTACTCTACATGTTTTTAGCCTCTGAGCATAATTTGCTATTAAGTACACAGCACTGACAAAGCAAGTAATATTACTTTCTTAAAGGTGGCAGTATTAACACATATTTACTTCATTTATAATTTAATGTGAATTGTTATTTACAGTTTATGCCTTGATTAATTTAAGATTAAATTGTTATTACATAACCAAAAAGGGACAAAAACCACATGAAGGCCTTTATGTATTTATCTGCAGTTTATATAACTTTTTGTTAACTGTCAGAAATTATAAATCTGGTCGTGGAAGCATATTTATACAGCATAGTTATACATTAAATGTGTGTGACAAGAGTGACAGCCTTAAATATATCATGAAATTAATTTCAGTGAATATTTGCAGGAAAAATATAACCAGAAATATAAATATAAAACTTCAGAATTACTATTAAATGCATTCAGCATGACAGTTTTTCTGGAGGTCTTGTTCATACCATCCTGGTATATCTGGCATTAGTTATTTGGCTTATGAGGGTGGCAGCTCATAAAAATATGAGACAATCAGTGAAAATTTCTCCCCAAGTTACTAATTTGTGCATATTTTATGAGCTGCCACCATACTAAGGAAAGATTTCATTACCACATATTACCATTATCAGGGTAAACCTACAATAAAAATGTTCTATATACTTTTTTCCTTCTGTTTAGGAGAGCAGCTGTTTCACAAGCATCACAAAAGCACTGCCAGGTCTATCATGACAAAGATAGTGTGTGGGAACAATGAAGCCAACACTACTTTCTCTGGTTTTCATGCCAGCCCCACTGAGGCTCACTGTGGGCAAACAAAAACACGTGAAGCCATTTCAAAATGTTTGTACTGGCCACGAATGTCAGTAGACATCGATAACTGGGTGGGTACTCCAAATATTATAACTGTTTTTTTTTTTTTTAAAAACGAGGCTAAAAGTCATTTGTTATTACTTTCTAATTAACAAAGGTGTTCATTTAATAATTTGAAATTCCCCTGCCACAATAATTGCTCAGGTTTCCCAGTGCACAGTTTGTCAGGCAAGTGCTACTACAATAAAAAACAAACAAAATGTAGAGTACACTCCAATAAAGGCTAGTCAGAGGTTAGAACCTGCAGGCAGCAAATCATAAGAAGTCACTTGGATGCTTGACCAAACATTTTTCTACTAACCATATGCAGATGAACAGTATGGGACAGCCGTACCTGGATGTTCGAGCACCGTCTTTAATTTTTATATGATGAATTTACTTAATATGTCTTTCTTGTCACGGTTCTGGGTCGGTTCGACAGCATTTTGAGTTCTTAGGTTTTGTTTTTGAATGATCGTTTTGTTACTTTTGTGCCTCGTTGATTATTATTTAGAATTCTATGTTTCAGTTTATTCATGTTTAAGGATTTGTTCTTCGGTTGTGTCTCATGTTCAGTATAGTTCAAGTTCCATGTGTTATATTCTGTCTGTCTCTCAGTGTCGAGTCTGCGTCTCTGTGTAGTGTTTTCTTGTTTCCTGTTTTATTGTGTAGGTCTGCGTCTCATGTGAGTGTGTTCAGTTTTACCTCCCTTGTCTCGTTAATCACTCCCAGCTGTGTCCCCCACCTGTGTGTAATCTCCCTGTGTTTCTCTGAGTGTATTTAAGTCGTGTCTTCTGGTGTTGTAGTCGCTGGTCCGTCTGTGTATCCATCGTATTTCATCCATGTGTTCTCCCTGCTGTCCGTCATCACTTGCCTCCGCCCATCCTTCTTCATGTTCGTGTCCTGGTTCGTGTTTTGTAGTTTAGTTGTTCCCAGTTCAGATAGTCTGCAGTCCAGTTTGCCCTTTTTCTATTTTGTACTTTACTTTCAATAAACCACCTTTACAAGTGCCTGCGTTTGGATCCTACTTCATTATCTCCACACGGCTCACTTCACTCGCCGTGACATTTTTATTTATGGTTTTCCAATCATTTGAACTGGTTGGAATGGATCTTACTGGAAAGCTAACAAAAACCAAAACTGGAAATCAGTATGTTTGCATGTTTATTGACTACATCACAAAATGACCACAGGTGTATCTGCTGAAGTCCAAATCAGCCATAGAAGTGACAAACTGCCTGATTAAATTTCAATTAAACCTTAATCAGGATTTTTTTTGTCATAATTGATGCATGAAAGGGTTAAAGTATTTTAAGTATCTTAATTTCAGCTAAAACATGAATCCTGAAGGTGACCAGTAGTTATAGGAAGGGCTTAATCATTGTAATGCCATTTTTTCTATTGATTATTGATGACATAAATCATTTTTATTATATTTTCAAAGATGGCTATGTCATCTCCTGTCCAAACAAAGTTTTTGATTTAATGATTATAATTTTTGAAAAGAGCTGTATATTGTTTTTCAGGTTACAGTTCAAACAGAACCATCATCCTGGTATTGATAACTCTGTGTGTGACATTTGTATGACTGGTATATGTTTTAACTCTTACTGTAATGCATTTCTATTTGCACTATGCTGGAAATTTTATTTTTGTAAAGAGACTAAAACCAGTGCGTTTTATATATTATTGCAGCTCAGCAAAACAGTGAAATGTTGAATATATATTAGATTAAAAAAAAATCAGTGTTTGCCCCATCATCTGCAAACAAATGCTGTCAGAGACTTCTTTAAAATTGTCGGTGACCACCCAGGAACATGGGTTGACTATATTGATGCCGTGATATTTGGGGTTCGAACAAAAAAGAAAAAGAAAAAGAAGAAGCAGATGACCACCAAGTACTCACTTTGGCAGGGAGGCTTGTTAACCATCCAAATTTCCCAAACAGTATATGGTTGTTGTTTTTATCTTTCTGTCTGTGACAAACTACTCGACAATCAAACACGATACATCTCAATAAGAATTCAAGCTTCCCGCAGAACTACTTCAATGCGTGCTATAGCACCACCATAACAACACCAACACAAGGAATGTTTTGATGAATAGAAAAGTTGTCTCCTTGTACATTAAATACAATCAGAGACACTGATGTTAGTTTCTATATTCTTTTATCTGAAATATGTTTTGTTATATCCAAATTAGAGATTTCTGATTGAAGACAAAAATGCATGGAAAAGATGTCACAGAATATTGCAAAACCTAAACAGTTGTTGCACAGGAAAAGACAAAAATCAGAATAAAAAGTCAGTGACAAGGTTTAAAGAGCCAACATAAGCACCCAGCAGAGGAAAGGAGGAAAGCAGGAAGCAAATTATTTAGGACCATATGTTATAACGGCTATCCAGGACAAAAGCGCAGACCTTCAGGTTTGCACTGGGGTTATAATTTCAAAAGTAAACATCGACCATCTGAAGCTAAGTAAAGAACGCACACCAAGAGTGCCACAAACATCTGGGGACTATCATCTTCAGCCATGTCACCTCAACCTGAAGACCCATTACCAGCCACAGCCGGCCCACATTTAGTTCCTACACCACAACCACCATTACCTGATGCTGCTCACAATGTGCAAGCAACACCTGGCACATCAAAAGCTCAACGATAGCTGCTGCAGAAAGAAAAGATCAGAAGATCACGAAGTTCATCGTAATTTAAGATCTTAGGGCTCAAGCAGGCGTGGCCAGTGATTATTGGCATGAAAAACAAGAACGACGAAAATGTGGATTAATCACAATCACAACAATATTATCATCACAATATTCCACAATATCGTAAATCCATATTTTACTAGCGCTGTGCACCTTTTCTGAGATACAAACTCTCTATAAATATTAATTAAGCTACAGTGTAAACCTTTGGTGTGACCACTTTTAGTACTCGACATAGTCTGACCTCATAAAAAGGCTTTCTTATGATTACTTTAAGTATTACACATGATTATCTTTTACTGTTCATTTACTGGATACATTGCTTATCTAACGTGAAGGACGCACTGTACACTATGCTGAGAAATGCAAAATTTCATATGAATCATAATCACTATATAGAAATACTATCTGTCTGCCAATTTATATAAAATCCATTGGCTAATTATTTTGTGTTCAGGTTATAAGGTAGTTATTAACATGCCACATTAGATCAAGCCAATGGAGTATGATGTCATTGTTGGAATAGTGAACGAACATCATCACTAGACCTTAGTGGTAAATAACAAATTCATTTTAAATATTCATTTAAATCATTTAACCAAGACAAATGCTTGTGGATACATGGATTTTTAAGGGAAACATTTCTTTATCATTTGTTCTTCTTCACTAGACTTTGAGGTCATACAGCCACAACAAAACAAGTCTCTGTAACTGGATCCATTAGAAGAGACAAAACAGGACATTCAGAGATGTCTAGAAACAACAAGGCAAGGAAAACTGCCCAAATGTTATTCCATTATCCCTTCTTATACGAATATTTAAAAAGTATATTTATGGTATTAATTGTATTATTTTGTTAATATGAAACAATGTGTATAATTCTAAAATCTGGACCCACAAAAGTTTCATTTTTGTATAGTTTAAAAAAACAACAACAACAACAATGGTATGGGTATTCTTTATAGCTTTTAAAATACCTGTCCCTGTTTTTCTTTGTGTTTATTTCTACCCTCATGTCTGTGTCTGATGGTTCTTTCACAAAAGACAATGCGGCACAGGCAGAATCTACACCGTTGTTAAGGTCCGGTACCAAACGACTCACGGACCGGTACCGGTCCGAGGCCCGGGGGTTGGGGACCGCTGGTCTACATCACAGATGAGGGCTAGATGTGAGAACCACAAAATTGCTCAGTGACAAACTACTAACAACAACAGTGCTTTAGATGTTTAAAATTGAACTAAATTTGATAATTCACACAGATATCGAGGAGAACTTTTGTAGATTTTAATGGATTGATTTTGATACATCTGAGTTGACACTGGTACCAGACAAAGATTAAATTACCTAATCTATTAATTAGAGAGAGAGAGATAAACCTTTATTAGTTCCACACGTTTGGTCAATTACAGTTGGTTTTCAGGGCATTTGTGTGAAGAAAGGCTTGCAACCTCTCCAGGTGGACTTGCGATACAGTGAAACATCCCAAACAAGTGGATGCTACATCGTGTAGAGTTCGCTGTAAGTATGTGTCCTAATCCTCATAACCTTCATATATCCATCTATCCAACCATCCATCTGAAAAGATATGAGTATGAAAAATGCTATTTTTCAATTAATATACCATTTACATTTTGGGTAGAAAATATATATATTTTTTAAAAGGGACAATATCTGTCCTATTGTCAAAAGAAGCCATAAACAAACACAGGCTGCAAACTGCCACCACTCTCCTTCGTAATACACATATGTAACACATCACCATTCGATTTTCATACAATCCTAATATTTCCTTTTTAACTACTGTTGAAATTAACTATAGTAATAAATATATCTTTGGCTGAGTATGTGGTATTCTTTTGTTTTTTCTACAGATGACCACTGTGGATGTCACTACAGATGTCACTACTGTGGATAGAAAGAGCATAACACTGATGACAGCTGTAAACTTAATCAGAAACACTTGTTGTCAAATGATTACAAGACATCCCCAGAAATTCTAGGCTGAATGAAAAGCTAAAAATAATAATAAATAAATAAATAATGTATACTTTATTGATCCCGAGGGGAAATTCCTCTCTGCATTTAACTCATTCAGTCAGTAAAGCAGTGAGCAGCCACCAATCCAGCGCCCAGGGAGCAGTGGGTAGGGATTGTACCTTGCTCAGGGGTACCTCAGGGTAGTCTTTCAGTGGATTTAAACCCCGACCTTCCGATCATAGGACCACCACTCTACCTACTGAGCTATCCCTGCCCACAGTAATATCCCTACTCGCAAATGGCACTAATAGAAAAGTCACACAATGTGTGATGTAGCCCCATAGTTCTTGTGGTGATGAAAGATGGAGAAAACGGCAGCCATTGCATCCTGCATGCTTCCCAGTGACCAAAAAAAGAGGTGAGATGGTTCTTGGGCCAGTTTTTACTGCAAGACGTTCAGTTAATTTTACAAATGCATGATACAAACATATACGTTTCAGTGCATAATATATTCGGATTCTCTGATCACAACCTGATGTAGGTTAAACTGTTATTTATAAGCGTTTCAGTGGGTATAAAAGCGCTTAATATCTGGAAGGTAGGTACCTTAATCATGATGTTCTGTTAGTAATACTCTTGTATCTTTTGCCTGATGGGAGAAGACTGAAGGTGACTAGCTTTCCTGGTGGCATAGTATGAAGGTATGGAAAGCAAAACCCAAACAATGATCCTGGAGCCTCTATATACTACTTTGTTCAAGCTTTTGTTTGTTGTGACTGGCTGTTCTAGTCAGGATGGAGAAAATAAGGACTCTCTGTAACAGCTGTGTAAAATTGGGTCATACCTTCCCGACTGACCCTGTATTTTCTCAGCTACTGGAAGAATTCTCTGGTGGGCTTTACTCACTGGTGTTTAATTCCCATGATAGACTGGTGTATAGTGGTGCCTAGGAAGTGCTTGAAGAAGGAGACACTCTCAACAACCTAACATCATTACTAGAATTCCCACTGCTAGAAAATTCAGAGGAAGAACATCAGTCTTTAAGTTGAAAACTCAAATGAAGTTATGCAGCAGGACAGCAACCTAGCATAAGACTAAATCTACCTTTGAAAGGAGAAAAAAACGACTTTGCAGTGGCCAAGTCAACGAACACATCTGAAATGCACTGAAATTGGCTTGGGACATTAAAACAGGAAAGAAGGCATGGTGGAAATTCCACCATAGAGATGTTGGAGACTCGCCTCAAGTTATCAGGCCACTTTGTAACAGTGGTTACTGCTAAAGCGTGGCACAACTCCGACCTTTGTCATCAATGCATTGGATAAACAGTTGGTTCAATTTATATAAAAATGCTTACAAAACTTGCATTACAGGTTATTTTTGTTTTATGTTAAATCTGACACAGCACAAATGCACATAAAAACAGGACAGGTCAAAATGCTAATTCATGCTAGCTTGGCACCAAGAAGTGTGGACATCCTTGGAAAACAGAAAAGCGACTGGTAAAAGTATGGTGCTGAAATGATGCTTCATCTAGTTGTGACAATATGGTGTACTGAATCACCTTATGATATTCAGTTTTATTGGTTTTCGGTCATGGATTCACCTTAATGTCCTTCCTATTCCATATCTGACCCTTTCATATGTTTAGACACTGTAGAAAAGCTGTCATTTGTTGATTTTATCTTTTATTCATTTCCTCCCTGCTGAAGCGGAAATATTAGCAGCTGTATTTGACAGGTGTTCTCAAACTGACAAAAAAATCCTTATTTATTCATTCATTCATTCATTTTTGAGGTGATATACTGAGGGCTTCCATACTGTTATACTAGTTTAGTAGTAGTTTTACTTCAGCTAAAGGAGGAAAAGTTCTTTTCTCACCTCTTTCAGCATGCTCACCCTTCAAGCATCAGAAACAGCAACACAAAGTATTCTTTTGTTTACTCTCTACACAAGTGCTGGAATAATCTTGCCAATGTAAAAGACATAATGTTGCACAACATTAATCAGATTCCTTCAGCTCCAGTGCTGCTCCACATTTCTCAGTCTGAACATACAGTGCACACCCCTGCTTTGCTTTTATGCTACCACTGGTATCGTGCACCACACCACTTTAGATCAGTGTTATTCTGAACCCTGCTCTTATTCCAAAGCATCTCTAAGGCTGCTATTAAAAGGCTGGATATACCACTGGATATCACTTTCCATTTGGAGGACTTCAGCCCATCTCTGATGACTGTAGGGAATAAGTGGTCGTGAGCTTCCGCTGTCCTCGTGGCAAAGAGAGAAAGGGAGAGACAAAGAGAGGGGAGAAATCTAATTATTTCTCTCCCATGGCCCAGCAAGCCTTAAAGGTTAATCACTGTCCGTTGAGCTAATTCTGTCTGGGTACACTGCAGTAATTACAACACCTGTCTCTCGCTCTCCCTCTCCTGCTTCCTCTAATGCCTTATTCTGTCTGTTTGTCTATCTGTGTGTCTGTCTGCGTCAGTATTTAGACAAGGGCATAACTGTTCTAATTTGGTGTCTGTACACCACTACAGTGGACTTCAAATTAGGCAATTAAGATATGATTAAACCGCAGACGTGTCAAGTTCAAGACAACACTTCTTACAGCACAACAAAAAAAGCTCAGGCAACAGGACAAACAGCCTCAGGTGTTGACCCGGCTTCCAACCTCTTAATATCTCAGTCGAATGAAGTATATATTTGACAGACATAAACCGATAGAGAGCGGCATGGTGGTTAACACAGTCGCCTCCTGAACATCCTGGGTCTGAAACCGCTCCCCAGCTGGGGCCTTTCTCTTTGCATTTTGTCACTTGGTTTCTTTCCAGGTACTCCGGGCTTCCTCCTGCAGTCCAAATATATACACGGGGTTAGGTTAAATGGTGAGTCTAAATTGACCGTAGGTGTGAATGTGAGCATGAATTGCCTGTCTCTATGTGTTAGTCCTGTGACAGACGGGCAAACTGTCGGGGCTTTACTCCGCCTCGCATCCTATGACAGCTAGGATAAGCTGCAGCCCAACCGTGACACTGAACTGAAGTGGATAGAGAGATGTGTTTATATAGGTACAGAAAGAGAGATGTATTCATATCTTGCATCACATCTCTAAGTGAGGAGGGTTTCCTTTTCTCACCCCCTCTCTTTCTCACATTCCTCACTCATTCTTTCTTCTCACCGCCTTTTCTCCCTCATCCTACCTTCTCGTCACCTACTGTCTCACTCCCTCCCCACTACTCTCAACGCTTCTCTTCCTCCTCCTTTCTTCCTCTTCATTATCTCAACAGCACTCAACCACCGTCTCTTTCTCACCTAATTTCTCTCTGTCACTGGCTCGGCTTCTAACTGTGTACAGCTGTATCTCACTTTAGCAACAGCTGAAGGAACTTCGCCCTGGGCCTAGAAATACTGCACCATCTCTTCTCCTTCCACTTTTTTCCCTTTTACTACCAAAAGTATGTCCAGAAGCAACAGCTTAAGAGTACCTCTCACTTCCCACCAAAGTTCAGTGATATAAAGTGCCTTGGATGCACCACCTATGACTGCTGAATAGAAGTTGAAGCATGACCGGTGTTCTTGATATTACTGTGAATAAAAAGTGCTTATGCATACTTTAGAAAGCTGCTAATTTATGCTTAGTAGACCTTAGAAGACCCTATTCTTATTAATTTCTTATCACACTGCCATACACAAAAAGACATTTTCTACATCCCCTTTCATCCTCTACTTCTTCTTTCTGTTTCCAGATTTCCTACAGTTATCAAATTAGTATTTTTGGTCGTTCTGTTTTTTCTCCCTGAGGCCCAGATAGGCTTCTCTAACAGGCTGCTCCCTGCTGAGGCCAGTGGCCTGATGCTGCTGAGGCTGGTGGGCTGTCATTCCCCATATCATCAATACAAAACAGAGAGGAATGAGAGAGAGAGTGAAAAAAAGAAGAAGACTGGGGAAGATGAGACACAAATTGTGACAAAGAAGCTAAGAGTAGCCCTTAGCAAAGTGTCATCACTCAGACAATCTCCATCCTTTCCACTCTGTCTTTATGTTTTCTACGTGCTAAGGGACCAAAACAGAAGCGGGGGACAGTGCCAGCTTTATCACATTCCAAATGTTTTCCAAGAATTTTGCGAAGTGACAAAGATCCCTAGAATTTGTTTCTTGGCCCCTGAGGCGAAGCTCTGCTTGAGAGTCTTTGCAGATGGGTGCTGATGGAAACAGTGGTGATGAGGAGTGCTGCTGGTAGCTGGTGGAGGGAAGCTAGAATTGCTGAGAAAGAGACGAGGGATGCTGAGAATTCACAGGGTGAGGAGGAGAGCGAGAGGGGAGAAGATGGAAAACAACAGCACCTGGCTGGCTGTTATGCCTTCGCCAAGGATAGAGTGGAGGCGGATGTATGTTTCCAGTGATGTTTATTTGTTTCTCTGTATGTTTGTTTGTCTGCAGGATTAAGTAAAAACTACTGAGCCGAATTTGATGAAACTTGTTAAAAAGGTGGAGTTAGAGCAACAGACAAGCTCATTAATTTTGGATCACTTTAGAATGTATTGAAGAATGTATTGTGGAAAGTCAGATGAATGGTCTGTCAAAAGCAAAAAATGAGACTGAAGGACAAACTGCATTTACGTATCCTTGTGCATGAACATAAATGGAGGAAAATGGTGAGCTTTTTGTAAGCCTGTTTACACTTCTCAGTTTCTTCCGTCTGTTTCATGTAATCCCCAGAGACTGTATATAAAAGAAAGCCATAACCACCATGAAGAGCCACTGGTCTGAGCTTTGATGCGCCAACATTAGCATCTTTGAAGCCAGATGGAGTGCTAAGTAATCAGCAATTAACTGCACAATGAGCTGTATTATTTGTCATATAACTGCATTCAAATTATGCATTTGTGGATGACATGCACCATTATCCACTTCAAGAGTGCATCAACAAGGACACAGATTAAACCAGAACGACATGTAAAGGACTGCGAGCCTCACTTGTCTCAATTAAAGTCAGAGTTCATGATTCAAGAATAAGATAGACAATGGGCAAAAATGGCATCCACATGAGAGATCCAAGGAGAAAACACTGACTAATAAAAACAATAAGCTTGTCTCACATTTGCCAAAAAAAGCATCCTGATGATTCCCAAGACTTTTGGGAAAATATTCTGTGGACTGACAGGACAAAAGATGGACTTTTTGTTTGCTGTTGCATCTGGTGTAAACCTAATACAGCAGTTCATATAATGAACATTATAGCAACCGTCAAATATAGTGGTGCTAGTGTGATAGTCTGACACTGTTTTGCTGCTTCTGGACCTGAATGACTAGCTATAATTGATGAAACCATGAAATCTGCTTTCTGCGAGAAAATCCTGAAGGTGAACGTCCAGCCATCAGTTTGTGCCCTAAAGCTCAAGCACACTCGGATTATGCAGCGGAACAATGATCTGAAACAGGTCAGGAAGTCCACCTCTGAATGGCTCCAAAAAGAACAAAAAACAAAAACAAAATGAAACTTTTGGAGTAGCCAAAACAAAATCTAAACTTAAATCCCTCTGAGCTGCTTTGGCATGACCTAAATACAGAGTCGTCATTTTTATACCCGCTGTATTGCTCCTATACTGCATATTTCTAAAGTGTGTTTGTTAACAGTACATTTACTGCTACATGCATTGAGAGTAAGCTAACGCAGGGAAAGTAAGACAAAAACAGTTAAACCTTGGCTGTCAAAGTTATTAGAGAAAGCAATATGTTTAGTAGTTAAAACAGTCTAAGTTAATACTGCAATGTTACTTCTTAAGAACATATTCTGAATTCAGACAGCTCTACAGTATGCAGATAAACTGTCCACTTACAATTAAAATCATTCCTTTTCCTTTAGTGTTAATAAACTCAACATATTGCTTGCAAAACTGAAGGTATTTTGTTCTTCTGTCAGCACACGAGCATTGATCCTATGCCTGTGCTTGCGTTGGAGTGTAGCAGCACCCACACATATTGCTGAGATGAATGTCTGGCATACAGGTAGACTCTTTATAGCTATTCTGAAATGTTTTGTCAAACAACCTTACAGTGTAACCATATAAGTTATCACAGCCTGACCTGTGTAGGCAGGTAAAGTCGTAAATCTTAAAAGGCAGCGACTTCTGTGCGCATCTCTCTTTAGAGCCGTACATGCTGTAAGCGTAGTTAATATATTTTTTTAAATGCAAAGCATATATAACGTTCCAGAGAAGCTTGCAAAAATCGCACCGTCTTAAAGGGTTTTACACGCTGATGTTGCATCTGGCCTTAAAGAGATATATACACTTATCATGCTCCACCAGGTAAATGTGGAGCAGGATAGCTCTAAACTACGCCTTTAACATCAACAAGTCATCATGTTTACCACTCTGAGCTGTCTGTGATCACAGTACACCAAAAGATACCAAAAGAAACAATTTGTGCATGACTCTCTCAGTTGCATAATCATTTATGATTCACCACTTCCTGCAGGCTTTAAAACATGCAGTGATTGCCATGACTACAGATGGCATGTGCATAAATGCTGCACATTAAATGATTTGAATATTTATCAAAATGTGACATGCTGGGTTTATTGAGAAGAATTTTACATTGCTGACAGGCAGATAAAATATGTACGCTTAAAACCTAGATGCTGATGAGGATTGACAGCATTATGGTCCAGCGTATATACTGTGTGCAAAGGGTTCTGCTTAGAAGACCCAGCCACAGGGAGGCCAGTGAAATCCTAGTGCCAGAACCAAGCCTGGATAAAGGGGACGGGTTGGGTTGAAAGATTCATGGATGTAGTGAAGGAGGATATGCAGAGGGTTGATGTTCGAGAGGATGCTAGGGATGGAATAAAATACAGGCAGATGAAGACGAACATGTTCTGCCTAAAAGTTACCTTGTGTGAGAAGTTGAAGAGTCCGGACTTCCTCCCGGACACGAAGCTGCAGGACCTGCTGCAGGATGTGCTGCCTCTGCGCTTCCTGCATGATGCCCATTCTTTCCAGCTTTCTGTCCGTCAATCTCATCAGAGCCCGCCCTGAACAAAACACGCAAAATGAATCTGAAGGTTAAAGGTGAGACGCCTGGGTGAAATTTAACATGCACAGCTGGAGACACTCCAAAAAGGGCTACCGATAACGTATTCGTGCCTGTGGAAGAGCAGAGTGTCAACGGCATTCAAGTGCAAATTCCTAAAGCTGTTCAAGGACGCAATATTTTCTTTTTTAAAAGCATAAAGAGAAACTGTTTTACGACTCGTTCTTTTTTATGTGACCGTCACTTAGCCTGAAATTTCCAATTAAGCCCAGTGCAACTCACTGCAAAGCAGATTCGTCTCTGCATAAATATCAGTACTGTGTATCCCTTGAGCAAGGATCCCTCACAGCTCTTTCCTTAATTGCAAATCCTTGTATAAAAATTCATAATTTAATCATGCAATCAGTTTGTATGAAGGGGATTTAGGCTGCTGATAAAAAGCCATGCAGAATATGGTGTAATTATTAACGCTTCTTATGAGTGCCTTTGTAACATGTGGGATGGTAAGCAGATAGGATAATACTGCAGAGCAATTACTAGGCATTAAAGTTCGTCCCCAGCAGCTCCTTTCCTCTTTCGCCCTGTTGGCTGTCTGGACAAGAAAATCTGATTGGTTTGACTGCCAAGAGAGTAGCTCGGTCCTGAAAGCCTCATGGATGCTGGTTTCTCATATTCGTCCCCATCTTCTTTTTGTTCTAGTTTCCTCTGTTCCACGACTATTTGTGGTTTGATCAACAACAATCAAATGCGAAGGCTCAATAATAAAGATTTAATATAAAAATGTTTGCTTTTGTTCAAATCCAGCCTGCCTGCAAAAAAAAGGCAGACTTTACAATTTCATGTCTCTTGACTTTCTTGGACTATCTGTTGTAGATTGTTTGGGCATGCCGAGCCCCATGCTACCACTTTGCTACCACAGCACAAAAGGGAGTTTGCTTGGAAAGCTAAGTACCCTTAAGTGTTATCGGTAAAATGTTGACTGTGTTTGGCCAATTTTCTTCTTTCTAACAAAAGAAGCTCTTGACTCTGCCCTACGGCCAGATGGGGGTAAAATGCCTAATATAGTTAAGACGCCTCAACTTGGAGTCGCACTGAAAGACTGTAGACATTACAAAAGCACTGGGGAACTAAGTAGAGTCATAAAGACTCAGAAGTAAGAGGAGCATATTAAATGGGAAGATGGAAAGACGAAGATTACTGATGTGAAAAAAGAGAGTGGAATCGGAGGCTGAGAGTAGAAAGTCGGGAAAGAAGAGTGAGACGTACAAACTGACAGAATGAAAAAAAAAAAAAAGGATGCACACATAAAGCATGCTGTTATGAGTCTATAAATATTGACCAGCCATCACTTGGCACCTGATCTTGTAACTCAAGATAGATTGGCATGGCAACAGAGGTTTGCTTTTTCTGTGCTTCTGTAAAGTCTACCTTAAACAACAGCAGAAACAACAAAGAAAACACGGCAAACTTTACATAATGGATAATAATGCATGCTTAGAATCTTTATATGTTATTATTATCATCTTGATATTATGAATTTGGAAAATTAAAATAAAACTACAGAGCACTTGTGTCAAACTCCAGTCAACTTTTAAATGTGTCCCTGCTGCAACACACACATGAATAAGATTAGTAGGCCATTAGGAAGACTCTATAGACTGCATGCTGAGGTGGCAACCCCTAAGCCTACTGAAGTAAATGTAAATAAATGGAAGTAAATGCAAGTGTTTGGAAAAATGTACTTTTATTGGACCATCTTCATTCGCTTCGCTTCATTGCAACATGAATCAAATTGCTGAATGCCACCTCAGCTTAAAAGTTTCAGGACACCGGCTCTCGAGGACTGGAGTTTGACACCCCTGCTTTAGAGAAACTCCCCTTAGTATTTATTACTTTACTAAAATTTGTTATCACAACTTGCCTATTGAAGCTTTAATGGGCATCTTTATTGAGACTCAGGATATCTACAAGACTGCTTTAAAAACACTGTGTTACTTACTGTAATACCGACACTAATGTTTCCTAAAGCAATACTGGCAATACTTAAAAAGACTGAAACTAGCAGTGAAACTAATAAAAACTAAACTACAATGAAACATTTTTCAAACAATAAAAACTGGAAACACTCTGGAAATTGTTTTTAATTAAAAACAAAAAGTCAAAACAAACAAACAACAAAAATAAAAACTAATAAAGAAAAATAGAAGTATAATAACTATGTTCTCCGCAACTTTAATACCCACCCGTCATTATTTATTTGCCCACACATTGTGTGATCACCACAGACAGAAGATTGGGATACTTAAAAGAATCAAGGTAAGCTAAACCTCATATATCTTATTTCAGGTCAATAAGTTTAAGGAAGAACTTTCATTCAACCATATGTTCTTACTTTGTAACATTCCCTTGCTTTCACCTGTTTGTGTGCCAGCTGAGGCTCTTGGTGTACAATCTGAAGGGCAGGCTTACAGTCTTTTCCTCTGTTGCCATTATTATGTGCTGAAACTGCTCTCATTGGACCCTGACATTACTTTGTTTGTAGATGGCTTGTGACTCATATGGCGTAGTAAGTGGACCTTGGCATGATGTTTTTAAATGTCTTTTTCCTCTTCTTTCTCTACAATGTCACCATCACGGGTGAATGATTCCCCCGCTGAAGCCAGTCCAACATATAAGCTGAACAGTTACGTGATAATTGGTTTTGATCTCTTCCACCCAGACTTTCCCTGTTTGCTTATCCTAAGGACAGCTTCAACCGTTTTTTATCTTTACTCCCAGATTTTTTTTTAATTATTATGTGATTGTAATTTTAACAGATTTTTATCATGAGGCATGACAACAACATGCACTGTATTGTATGCAGATATTTCCCCCATTGTTCTTTGTAGAACTCAGAACTCCTAAATTGATTCTACTTTCAAACTTTTGAATATAGCGATTTGTAGTGTGTCACTTTGAAGCCGATAGCCTGTCACTTGCATATGCCTGTTGCTTCGGTTGCCTAGGTAACTCTCTAATGTACAGGGTGGGCCATTTATATTGATACACCGTAATAACATGGGAATGGTTGGTGATATTAAAGTCCTGTTTGTGGCACATTAGTATATGTGAGGGGGCAAACTCCTCAAGATGGGTGGTGACCATGGTGGCCATTTAGAAGTCGGCCATCTTGGATACAACTTTTGTTTTTTCAATAGGAAGAGGGCCATGTGACACATCAAACTTATTGGTAATGTCACAAGAAAAACAATGGTGTGCTTGGTTTCAACGTAACTTTATTCTTTCATGAGTTATTTACAAGTTTCTCTTTGTTCACAGCCATTGACATGTCGAAGAGGTTAACACGTGAGGAGCGGATCGAAATTGTGTTGATATCTGGTGAACGCAGTAACCGGGTCATTGCAGCAGATTTCAATGCAAGACACCCTACGAGACCACCCATCTCCCATGCTACAGTTAGCAAACTGCTTGCTAAGTTTCGTGAAACTGGTTCAGTGTTGGATTTGCCAAAATGTGGACGCAAGAAAACTGTCACTAATGAAGAAACATCAGTGGCTGTCCTAGCTTCATTCAGCAAGAGCCCACAGCGTAGCACTCGCCGCATGTCACTGGAGAGTGGCATTAGTCGAACATCCCTTCGGCGGATATTAGCTACTCACAAATGGCACCCTTACAAACTCCAGCTACTGCAGCATCTCAACGAGGATGACCCAGATCGGCACAGAATTTGCAGAATGGGCAAAACAAAAATTGGAACAGGACCCTCAGTTCACGCAGAAGATTTTGTTCAGTGATGAGGCAAACTTTTATGTGAATGGTGAAGTTAACAAACAAAACCACCGCTATTGGTCTGACACTAACCCACATTGGATGGATCCCTCCAAGACTGTTGGAACAACAAAAGTGATGGTTTGGTGTGGTATATGGGGTACAACGATAGTGGGTCCATTCTTCATCAATGGAAACCTCAAGGCCACTGGATATTTGAAATTGCTACATGATGATGTTTCCCTCTTTAGTGACTGAAGATGGGACGAGAGGGTTCATTGACAATCCAACACAATGGGCAGCACATTGAACACATTTTATAAGTGGTCAGAAACTTGTAAATAACTCATGAAAGAATAAAGTTACGTTGAAACCAAGCACACCATTGTTTTTCTTGTGACATTACCAATAAGTTTGATGTGTCACATGGCCCTCTTCCTATTGAAAAAACAAAAGTTGTATCCAAGATGGCCGACTTCTAAATGGCCACCATGGTCACCACCCATCTTGAGGAGTTTGCCCCCTCACATATACTAATGTGCCACAAACAGGACTTTAATATCACCAAACATTCCCATTTTATTACCGTGTATCCATATAAATGGCCCACCCTGTATTTCAAGTCTCATGTCAATCAGAGGCATGCTGTCCCATCATCTGCAGTCACTTCAGTCTTCCACCTTGAGTTTATCTCTGGACCCCCCATTTGGTTAATTCACCCGTAGTCGCTTGAAGTTGCTCCGTGTCTTTAGCTTTCAACTTTGCTGCAAATCACTTCCAGTCTGAACATCTTGTTAAATGGAAAAGGTGTAGGATTGAGCTCCCCTCCTTCTAGAAACTTAAAGTTTAAATTCAACCATAAGCTGCACAGTTGCAATTTGAGTAAAAGTCGAGCTTTTTTAATCTCACAAGTCTAGTGGAATATTGTGAATGCCTGCAACATGACAAGCTCTGCAATTATCATGAACAAGCTGCCAGTTCTCAGCGGTGAATGCCAACACGCCGCTTCTTCCGGTCAGTGAGGCAGCATTAGCGGGGTGGAACAGCTTCTGTAAGGCATCCAGGCTTTCACTCTGCTTTCCCGCAGTTCTGAGCCATTTGCTTTGACAATCCCACCAAGACTCAGCTGGGAGTTTTTCATACCACAATTAATACACTGTGCACTGTAGCGTGGTTGTGAGGAGAGGAAGAGGAGGAGAAGGAGGAGGTGGACAGCAGAGGAAATTGGTCAAG